CCCCGCACACCCCCCCGCACACACCCCCACCCCCGCACATCCCCCCACCCCTCTACACCCCCACACGCCGCCGCTGTGGTCCGGCTGCGGCCGAGGCGACTTGGCACTTGTAAGCCTCTCGCTGCAGCCTCTGTTGTGCTGGGCTGCAGGTGGCCGGCCAAGCCCGGGCGCGCAGGGAGCGAACCCAGACCTTGCACCTCCCAGGTCCCCGGAGCCAAGGCTGCCCCGGCTCTCCTATCGCCCAGCTGGCCTCTCCTCTGCGGCCATTTGTTTTAAGAGTGTGTGTGTGTGTGTGTGCGCGCGCGCGTGTGCACGCGCGTGCAGAGGCCAGAAGAGAGCCGCTCGTGTAGCCAGCTGTTGCGTGCTGGGCAGAGTGTGCGCCCTAACCTCCGGGCCCTGTCTCTGCTCTCACGAGTTTCTGGGTCTCCCCTGGCACCATCCTACACGGCCAACCCCGATGTCTTCCGGGCCCCACCTACACACACACACACACACTCGCCAGCGGCCCTCCCTCCTCAATCGTGGGCTGTGAGGGTGGAGGACGGTGGAGCCCTGACGGTCTCGGGTCCCTGCAGAGCCGCATCCGGGTGCTGGAGGAACAGCTCAGGTCTCTGGGGGAGCAGATGGCGGCCGAGAGCTGGGGCTTGAGCAGGAAGAAGGAGGAGGCCGTGCAGGCGCTGGCCCAGGCAAGTGTGCCCCAGACCTGCCCCCATGTCCCAGCTCCCCGTGTCCCAGCTCCCCGTGTCCCCATGTCCCAGCTCCCCGTGTCCCAGCTCCCCGTGTCCCCATGTCCCAGCTCCCCGTGTCCTCGTGTCCCAGCTCCCCGTGTCCCAGCTCCCCGTGTCCCCATGTCCCAGCTCCCCCTGCACCCCCTCGCCTGCTGCCCTTCTGCCACACCCACAGTTGTGAGCTGAGTCCTGAGGTCCCTCTCCTAGGAGCGCAGCCGGCTGTTGGGGCTCAGCTGCCTTGGGGGACCATGTGGGGAGGACTTTCCTGAGCCTGAGCAAGCGCTCACCAAGGTAAGGCTTTCCACTGCTGCTGCTGCTGCTCCTGCTCTTTCTCCTCCTGATCCTCCTCCACAGATCTGGGGCCCCACCCCTGAACACACAGGAACCAGGAGTGTGAGCTCCGCACCCCCTCCCTCAGACCCCACTGTCCTCCCTCAGACCCCGCTGTCCTCCTCCCTCAGACCCCGCTGTGCTCCCTCAGATCCCGCTGTCCTCCC